TTATAGAATTCAGTACAACCGGTTCAGAGTTGTACTGCATGCAGTTGATAGTTTGAACGTTAAACATGAATTACGATCGAAAAAAATAAAGCAATTCTGTATCATGCAGACATTTCCAAACGATATTTCTCCGTTTGCCACTTGAAAATCGTGTTTTACTTTTTGCATTAATTAAAGCAAAGGTCAAGGAGTAGTGACGTCACTGGACGGCATTAACGGCCGGTCGATTCAGACGTTACCGAGGGAGTAATAACGACTCGAAGTAATCGGATGAAATTCAGGCTAATTTTACTAATGTTTTCTTTGGCAATACGATCATAAAGTGCACAATGTGGCAGTTAAACTCGAGCGCAGCTGCCTTCAAGCAATTAAGCTCAGGCTTAGCAGATAAATATGAGGTAAAAAAAGTGCATATTCATCAAGTGTGCATAAACCATGCAGTTTTTATAACATTTGCTTTTCGATCGAGCAAAAAATGGGAAATTATGAAACCAAGAGTCTCGACTAAACTTTAATGGGTTCTTCTTCAATAAAAACACAAGACTTGTTACTTCTATTACCGCCTTTGATTTTTTTTACGAACTTCTGTAGTTGTTGGCTCTAATAATTGTGAGTTTACGCAACAGGACGGCAGGAAGAAGAGGACGGCAAAACGCTTGTGTGTGACAAACGTGACAAAGCTATTACTTGGGAGTTTTGTCGTGGTCTTCCCTCATCATTGATGTTTTCTGGTCTATTACAAAAAGGTCTGTTTAAAGGAAGGTGTAGTTTGGTGAACTGTTTTTTGAAACAAAATTATTGTCACGCTTGTCACACAAGGTTTGCCGTCTTCTTTCCTCTCCCGTCCTGTTGCGTAAGTTCACTAATATTGCTCGATAACGTTGTGGCACTTCACAAGAAACCCCACTTCCCCGCTAAACTCATATCAATACCTGAGAAGTCTTTTGCGATTGGCTATAGGAGCGGCTTATTAGCATATATGGAACCTTCAAATCATTTACTTGGTAACAACGATTTCCTATTTTAAATATCACCTTAAAGCAGGTTAAGTTTGGGTTCTCCAGTCTAACTAAGAATTAATAGGTTCTTCTTCAACAAGAATATAAGGCTTGTTACTTCTGTTACTCCCTTTGATTTTTACGAACTTCTGCCGGTACTACAATTATATGTCAGTGGCACTTTACAAGAAACCCCACTCCCCCGCTTAACTCATATCAATGCCTGAGAAGTCTTTTGTGATTGGCTATAGGAGCGGCTTATTAGCATATATGGAACCTTCGAGTCATTTACTTGGTGACAACGATTTCCTGTTTTAAATATCACCTTAAGGGGGTTAAGGTTGGGGTGTCATGTCAGTGTAAAATAAGTAGACAAAACAAAGTATTGGCTCCTAAACAGAATTTAAACAATGAGAGTGAGGAAGGTACTAAAATAACAGTTTGAAAATCAGGTCACATCAATTAGTCGATCCACCGAGCCGAGATGTTGAGCTTTTTTTATTGGCTAGACTTTGCAATAAATTATTTATGAATGTCTAGTTACAAATTAAAAATGCAATACGTGCTGAACAGAAGAAGTTACAACAANTACTTGGTAACAACGATTTCCTATTTTAAATATCACCTTAAAGCAGGTTAAGTTTGGGTTCTCCAGTCTAACTAAGAATTAATAGGTTCTTCTTCAACAAGAATATAAGGCTTGTTACTTCTGTTACTCCCTTTGATTTTTACGAACTTCTGCCGGTACTACAATTATATGTCAGTGGCACTTTACAAGAAACCCCACTCCCCCGCTTAACTCATATCAATGCCTGAGAAGTCTTTTGTGATTGGCTATAGGAGCGGCTTATTAGCATATATGGAACCTTCGAGTCATTTACTTGGTGACAACGATTTCCTGTTTTAAATATCACCTTAAGGGGGTTAAGGTTGGGGTGTCATGTCAGTATAAAATAAGTAGACAAAACAAAGTATTGGCTCCTAAACAGAATTTAAACAATGAGAGTGAGGAAGGTACTAAAATAACAGTTTGAAAATCAGGTCACATCAATTAGTCGATCCACCGAGCCGAGATGTTGAGCTTTTTTTATTGGCTAGACTTTGCAATAAATTATTTATGAATGTCTAGTTACAAATTAAAAATGCAATACGTGCTGAACAGAAGAAGTTACAACAATAGACAGACAGTTAAGAGTTACTAGAAGATATTTCATGCCATTATCATTATTAGAATTTTTATCTTTAGCATTCCCTTAAATTTTCCCCTTGCATGAACGAATACTTTTGTACTTCTCCTACCCACGCCCCTATAACGTTTCTAACGGTCCGCGGCCGAGTTTTATCCCAAACTCTTACAATACGTCGCCTATGGTGTCATTTCTCGCACTCATTAAAACCTTCTCAGAGTGCTGGAGCACAGATAGTCATGATATATTTGCAAGCAAAACTGAGCACATTTTTGCGATCTATGCCCGTACAAAAGAACATTTTATGAGTCGTTTAAGAGCTTTTTGGTAATGAATTACTGCTAAAAACGAAAAAGAAAATCGGGTTGATAGCACAGTACGCGTTAGACATAAACATGGTGACATCAAAGTATGGTCAAAAACTGCACGAGAAATGCATGAAAGACCTGTCATGTAGCTACGGTGAGAAAACGATTCTCGGAAAATATAATCGAAAATACCTGCTTAACACCATCTTTAAACAGGTGTGTGAAATGTTATCGTTAGCAATACGATCATAAAGTACACAATTTGGCAGGTAAACACAGGAAGAAGGGTAGAAGTTGCCTGCTGCCGTTAAGCAATCAACAGGCTTTACAGGAAAATATGAGGCAAAAATAAATGCCTGTTATCATGTGTGCATGAAGCAGCCAGTTTTTATATACTTTACTTCTCGATCGAAATAAAAACGGGAAATTCAAAAAGCAGGAGTCTGCTGTCGGCAAAGGCAAACTCAGAGCACGTTCTTACTCAACAAATAGACGAGGCTTGTTCCTTCTTTGACTGCTTTTAATTGTTACAAATAGTTGGTCACAATTTTATCCCTTGATAACGCTGTGGCAATGATTTTTATAATGACCAGAGTGACTCAAACGCTTTAAAACTCATATCAATGCCTGAGTAAGTCTTGTAATAGGCTAGGAGAAACTCATTAACATTGAAGCTTCGAGTTATTTACTTTGTCAAATCGATTTTCTGTCTTAAATTTCACTTTTAAGCTTGGGTTGTCCAGTCAATATAAAACCAAGGAAAGCAAAGAGAGAGAACAAAGAATGGGTTTCTAAACAAATTTAAACAATATCATACAGTAACCACTGAAGAGCATCCCCTTTTGCATCGGCCCGCGCAAATGAAATCGGACGAAGGATTTTTTTGGAAGTCTATAACCTCTGTTGCTTGCATTCTTATCGCTTAGCAGTTTATGTGAATACCAGGATTGTATTTTTTATGAAGTTATTATTTTTATTATTATTAAATTCTTCACTAGCATAGAGCTGTTAGTTTATTCTAATGTGTTTAAAACGCCCATTTGAAAACGTATGTTCAATTTGTGTCAAATAGATAGCAAGATAGCAAGATAGCAAGATAGCCAGGCCAAGAACATTTTTAATGTGGCTCTTAGCCGGCCCCACGTGGAAGTGTAAAATAGTCATCAGGGAGTGTTGTGGTTTAGAGCGCAGGAAATTTTCTCATCTACGGACGATAACAGTTTATCACTATTGTAGTCTTGTCTCTTCTTGGTAAATCGTTTGAAACAGTTCCAAGACTGGATCGCCCGCCATTGTCTGTCGCCTTCTGTACAACGTAGTATATGCATCGAGGCCATCAGTTAAGTTTCAAACTTTAATTTTTGTCCCCTTGCGAGGCCTCAGGACAATAATTGTTATTAAGACCGACATGGCTTAAACTTCCTGTTTAACTTTTTGTTTCATGTATTTTTTCTTGGCAATGGGCGAACGGCAAACGTACCACAAAAACCTGCGGTTTTTGTCTTTGCGCAAGTTCTTTTGACGACGTAGACATTACTGTCAAACCTTGGGGTGGCGCTAAAATTTCAACAGATGTTTATAATTGTCCCTTTTATTCCTTCCTTTTTTCGGCAGAACTTCTTTTAAACTTAGCGGTTCTGCAATATTTATAAGAGTTGTTAGTTGTACAGTTGTACTTCACCTACCTACGCCCCCAATAACGTTTCTAAAGGTCCGTCCCTGAGTTTTATTTACCGCCCAACCTTTAACAATACGTGGCCTATGCTGTCATATTTCGCAGTCATGCCAGACTTAATCCTCAGTTAAGTACGCCAACGGCAGTCGTGGTGATTTTTTATTCGCAAGTGTTTTACGTACCTCTAAATCTTAATATATTCAGTCAAAAGCACATTTTTGCGACTTACGCCTGTACAAGAGAACATTTCATTAGTCTTCTAAGACCTATTAGATAATTACTACCAAAAATACATTCATCAGTAGTCATGATACATTTATTCGCGAGTGTTCCACGAACCTCTAACTCTTAACATCTTCAACCAAAAGCACATTTTTGCGAGCTATGCCTGTACAAAAGAACATTTTATGAGTCTCTTAAGAGCTTTTCGGTAATTATTGCTAAACATGAAACAGATAACTGGGTTGATAGCACAGTACGCGTAAGCCATATAAATGGTGACTTGATCGTAAATCCAGAAACTACACGATAAATGCGTGAGACTGTCCATATACACTATGATTAAATGGTTAGTATTGTAAGGTAACCAGCAAAGCACAAACACTGTTACGATAGCAATGGACATTTGAAGCACGTTTCGGTTTCTTCTGTCCCGCTGTTGCTGAGTGTTCGCGGACTGTTCACCTGGGTGTGCCTGTGTCTTGAGCTTGATAACAATGATGGAGTAAAGAATGACTAGCAACAGCACAGGTATGAATATAAACAGACTGTAGAAAGCTAGTGCGAAACTGGCATAGGATGATGACTCTCCGAATACTTTTTCCCATTGATTATCACACCGGTTTCCCTCTGGGTTTTCAACGAGCTCGGCAGTGAACAAGTATGGCGAACTGACCGCTACGGCAACTATCCATGTAGCGAGGATGAAGAAAGGACACAGCTTGGATCTGAAGAGTGGGGAACGGAGTGGAAACACCACGGCTCCAAAGCGATCCACTGCTATCAGAATCAGATTCTGAATCGAAACGATAAAGGAAACGTTACCAAAGAAAGGGACAAGCTTACACAAGGCCTGACCAAGCTGACCACCGATAAGAAACGAGTTATTGGTGTGCAACCTTGACAGGTTCCAAGGTATCCAGAATATTGGATACAGCAGATCAGATGAGGCCATGTTTGCGATGAAATTATTTATCGGTTTTCTTAAGTTCGGCGTTTTATAAACGATCATAACAATGTGAGAATTTAAGACCAGGGAAACGATGAAGATCAGACAGTAGGTAACGGTTCCTCCGATTTTCCACGCAGTGAAATTAAAGCAGCTCCAAGATCCGCTGGATCCGTTCGCCGTTGAGTTCATGCTGAGTTTTGCGACGTATCTACAGAGTCGTACACATGCAGTCAAGTAACTTTGAATTACTGCTCTGTATTGTTTATAAATTGCGTATGCTGTTTGAGTGGCAGAACTTTTATTGATAATTGCAAGCCCCCTGCAAAGCAACAGCACAGCTGTCCTCTGAGGCCTTCAATAAGTGAGTTTGTTAATGTTCCGGCATTATCCGCCAACCGACCTTTTGACAGAATTGAAACAGTGGGGTATTAAAATGTTATAAACCATCCAGAACACTTCATTTAGGTCATGTGGTTGTATTAAGAAATCGATTGAGAAGATGATTAAACATGTGTGTTTTAACACATTAAAGAATGATATCTTTGGTAGTACCATCATGAACTACACAAGTTTGACAGTTAACCACAGGAAGCAGAGGCGAAGCCGCCTTCAGGCCATTAAGCGCAGGCTTAACAGGTGAATATGAGGAAAAAATAAGGTGCATATTATCACGTGTGCATAAAACATGAAGTTTTATAACATTTACTTCTCGACCGAGCTAAAAATGGGAAAACCAAAAGTCTGCTGTCGGCAAAGAGAAACTAGCAGGTTCTTGTTACAATATTCAGTACTTGTTGGCTACAGCTCTTTTCTTCGATAACGTTGTGACACTTCATTTATGTCTAATAGCGATTACTACTTTTAGAGTTCCAAGAGGGGCGTTTAATGACGGGAGTCATTTAAAAGAGAAATGACTGAGTTTATTGTCATTTATGTAACAACCTAATTTTCAAAACTAATATGCTTTCGACACAAAATATAAAGAGAGCTTATGAAGAGCGGAATATCCTGTCATCATCAACGCCTAATTAATGATGCGGATAGTTTGTCGTGCATTTTTTAAATTTTGCCTGAGACGGGACAATCTTCAAAAGCGCCGCCGACAAAATTCTGCAGATGACACGTCTTCTGACCAGCCTGGTTCCCGCGCATGTCAGCGGCCTCGATTGAACGCCTGCAAATTCTCTCTTGACACCTGCAATTACATCAGTTCTGTCGCTGATACGCGGCACTAAGTATTTTTTCCATCCGTTACCATTCCTACTTCTTTACATTGGTTAAACTGAGCTGTTCCAGGCTCTCAGATAGTCAGGGGGAAAGACACGCGAAATGTTCGCGGGGCGGAAAAAAGGAAAAAGGAATCGCTGCCCCTGCTATACTGCAGCAAGCAGATTAACGAATACTAAGCCACTGTGTTTGTCTCATTTAGAAATTGACCGGTGTTATGATACATATCATTTTTCGCTAACATTTCTTTTTATTTTCAGCTTATTTCCCCCTTGCATGAATATTTACTTTGCACTTCACCTCCCCCCTCCCCCATAACGTTTCTAATGGTCCATCTCACCCTGCGAGCAGAACCTTCTAATTTGTTGAGTGACGCCAAGTGATCAAGTTAGCGAATGAACAGTTCTGCGGCTGAGAGGGTGCATGGTCCATCCCTGAGTTTTATTCAGTGACGGATCTAGGGGAGGGGTCCGGGGGGCCCGGGGCCCCCTTATTTTTAGACCAAACTAAGGCCCGAGGAGCAGAAAAAATTTTTTGGAGACCTACAATTCCCCCCCTCCCCTAGCCCCCGTTATCTCAAGGTCTGGATCCGGCACTGTTATTTACCACCCAAACTATTACAATACGTCGCCTATGCTGTCACTCTTCGCAGTCATGGTAGGGCCGAGTCAGGGAGGCATAAACTGGAACACATTTTACTTCTCAAAGTACATAAACAGTCATGATAGTTTTTATTGGCAAATGTTCCACAACCTCTAACTCATAACATATTCAATTAAAAGCAAATTTTTGCGACTTACGCCTGTACAGAAGAACATTTTATGAGTCTTTTAATACCTTGGGATAATTACTACTAACAAATGAAGCAGATAATCGGGTTGATAGCACAGTAAGCGTGAATCGAAAAGTAGATTACATAAAGATATATCGAGAAACTACACGAGAAATGCGCAGACCTGTCCATATACACTATGATTAAATGGTTAGTATTGTAAGGTAACCAGCAAAGTACAAACACTGTTACGATTGCAATGGACATTTTGAACGCTTCTGTTTATTCTTTTTTCCTGTTGCTGATTGTTGGTGGACTGTTCACCTGGGTGTGCGGGTGTCTTGAGGTTGATAAAGATGATGGAGTGAAGAATGACTAACAACAGCAAAGGGGTGTATGTAGACAGCATCTTGTGAGGTAGCAGGAAACTGGCATGGGACAATGACTCTCCAAATACTTTCTTCCATTTTAACACACCAGGTTCTCTCAAAGTATTCAACGAGCTCGAGGGTGAAGACTTCTGGCGAATTAAAAACTATGGCAAAGATCCACGTGACGAGAATGAAGAACGGAAACTGCTTGGATGTGATGAGTGGAGAACGGAGTGGAAACACCACGGCTCCAAATCGATCCACTGCTATAAGAATCAGATTCTGAATCGAAACTGCAAAGAAAACGTCACCAAAGAAAGGGACGAGCTTACACAAGGCCTGGGGCCCGTTTCTCTAAAGCCCCGATACTAAGCTGTTGCTGTTTACATGCAAGATAGTGGTTTCAATAGTTTTGCATCTAACATGATAAAATCATTAGTCAGTAAAACGAAATGGAGTAGTTTGCTTGCCAGGACCCGCACACTTATTCTTTATTTTTCCATTTTGAATGTTTGATTTCGGGCCTGAAATGTTACCGGGACTTTCGAGAAACGGGCCCCAGGCCAAGCTGACCGCCGATAAGCCACGAGTTAGTGTGCAAGTCGGACAGGTTGAAAGGTATCGAGAATATTGTATACAACAAATTAGACGGGGCCATGTTTGCAATAAAAAAAAATAATAATTTGTTGGTTTCTCTTAAGCTCGGCGTTTTACAAACGAGGATAAGAATTAGACAGTTTGCGACCAGTGAAACGATGATGATCAGACAAAAGGCAACGGTTCCTCCAATTTTCCGTGCACTGAAATTAAAACAGCAACAAGACCCACTGGATCCGTTCGCCGTTGAGTTCATTTTTTAGGTTTGTGAAGTCTGCTAAGCCTCAGCACTGCTACTTAAAGTGAGTTTGTACAATCGTGTCAGTTATCAACTGACCTTAAGCGAACCAGACTATTCCGAAATCGATCGAAAAGATAGGGCCTTTTTTCATTAGCGACAAAGTTGTTTATTTTAAAATTAAGACAAATTTTCCGTCATCATCAACGCCAAACAAATGATGCGGATGGTTTGTCCGGCTTTTTTTTTAAATTTTGTCTGAGACGGGAAAGTCTTCAAAGGCGCCGCGGACAAAATTTGCTTCGGGCAAAAACCAGGCAAAATCGATTAAATAAACTGTAATGTGTTTTTCTTGTAAATCATTTGTTGTAAGGCCATTATTCTTTCCATTAACAAGGGCAAAAGTTGTTNAATAATTTGTTGGTTTCTCTTAAGCTCGGCGTTTTACAAACGAGGATAAGAATTAGACAGTTTGCGACCAGTGAAACGATGATGATCAGACAAAAGGCAACGGTTCCTCCAATTTTCCGTGCACTGAAATTAAAACAGCAACAAGACCCACTGGATCCGTTCGCCGTTGAGTTCATTTTTTAGGTTTGTGAAGTCTGCTAAGCCTCAGCACTGCTACTTAAAGTGAGTTTGTACAATCGTGTCAGTTATCAACTGACCTTAAGCGAACCAGACTATTCCGAAATCGATCGAAAAGATAGGGCCTTTTTTCATTAGCGACAAAGTTGTTTATTTTAAAATTAAGACAAATTTTCCGTCATCATCAACGCCAAACAAATGATGCGGATGGTTTGTCCGGCTTTTTTTTTTAATTTTATCTGAGACGGGAAAGTCTTCAAAGGCGCCGCGGACAAAATTTGCTTCGGGCAAAAACCAGGCAAAATCGATTAAATAAACTGTAATGTGTTTTTCTTGTAAATCATTTTTTGTAAGGCCATTATTCTTTCCATTAACAAAGGCAAAAGTTGTTAGATTTAAACGGCCCAATAGAAGTTAAAAAATATCACCCAAAAATGTTTGTTTTAGACGTTTCAACGGAAATGTCTTATTTGTATGCTAATGATAAGCCCATAACTGGAAATGTGCTTAAGTGCCAATTTAAAAATACGCATATACAATCATAAACTACACTATTTAGCAGTTAAATCCAGGAGGCACGGGCGTAGCTGCCTCTAACACATTAAGCCCTGCTAAACAAATGCATGTTACGTATGCATGTTACGTATGCATAAAATAAGCGATTTTTATATCATTTACCTCTCGATCGAACTTAAAATAGGAAGTTCTAAAACAAGGTGTGTTTTTTCAGTCTTTAACTGCTGCTTTTAATTGTTACAACCTTCAGTATTTGTTGGCTATAATTCTTTCTCTCGATAATGTTGGGGCATTTTTTTTTAAACAATGACCAGAAAACCCACCCACCTAACTCATATCAATGCAACTATTAACCGCCATGACGTGCTGCACCCATCCGAAAAGAGTTTCGCAACCGTTCATAGGGTGCGTCTTGATCTCGCATGCCACTCGTTTAGCACCAAAGTCAAAAGGATTTCTACTACAGAACTTTCACATTCTAGCCAATCAGGGAATCTTGTTTACTGCATATCCTGCTGCCGATGAACAGTTCTTTACATTGGTAAACTGAACGAATCCTCAGGAGTCATTTTGGGGAACGTTTGCGAAGTATACGCATGCGCAACAACACTCGTAAGCTTCCTGTGGTGCAACATTTCAGCTCCACGGGCCACAGTATTTTCGATTTCCAGGTCTGTGGTGCGGGGATGGCTCTATGCAGTGGAACCGACATGCAACCGAAGCATCGTGAAATGAGGGTTTTCTTGCAGCTAGGAACCGTTCAAACCTAAAAGACTAAATATCAGTTTCAGCTGCGCTCGCTATTATTTACACGCGCACGCGCCTCATTTTTATGTCTATGACAATTGCCAGGAGGCGTAATAATAACGGTTTTCTGGATACTGAAGGAGAGTTATACACCCGAAACGTCTGTTTCCTAAAGACATTTGACATTTTTTGACTTTTCAATGGAATATCATCCTATCCGCGACCCGTAAACCAGCTAGATGAGATGTATTTGTTTTCACAGTTATATCCTAGTGTGGTTGTTAATGGACCACACTATTTGCAGTAATGAAAATATTGCTATGTCATAGATTATGACTTAGATTGGTTGTTGACTTTGTTGGCCCCTGGCTGTTCAAAACCTTTTTAACTGTTTACTGACAAATTATCTGCCTTCCTTTTCCTATACACGAGTAACAGTTATGACAGTACAGTCAAACCTCTTTCATACGGACGCCAAAGGGACAGAACCAAGTGTCCGCTTTACAGAGGTGTCTATATTATAGAGGTAGGGAATGGAGGATTTTTGGTATTTCTGGGACCAAACAAACTGTCCGTAGTAGAGAGGTGTCCGTAAGGAGAGGTTCGACTGTCCATTATTTCGACAGTGCTTAATTTACATGTAATCAAAAGCACTTTGCACTGGAAGAGCTTATTTTGCTATTTACCTGTTTTGAATATAAGGATAATAATTTGCTAGAAACAAGTTTACACTGGAACATAAGAACGTACTTGATATATTAGAAAATCAATATTCTAAAACCTAAAGATAATAAATTACTTAAGTATATACTTAAACAGTGGATAGTGTTTTTCGCGCGCTTTGATTGGCTACTCAATCAGTGAATTTCCTGCACTATTCACTGATTCACCTCCAGTTCCTCCGAGCCAGCGACGCCAAACTCGCGTAAGTTGCGAGCAAAATGCGCATGCCTTCTCGGTTTGCTGCCGTAACAAACTAAGAAATTTGAAAACCAATCAATCAAGCTGTTCCCAAAATACATGAAGAAAGTAACGAAGTTCGGTTTGGAAGTTCAAACAGGTCAAGCTTTGTCTTTTTGACTTGAATTTATCGATAAAACCGGTGAAAAAGTTTTTTGTTTACAAATGCAAATTAAGTTTAAGTCTTGCGTTACTTTATTTAGTTGACTTGTTCATAAATAAGCTTAAAACTAAATTTAATAATCTTTTTTACAGAATGATTTTAAATACATAAAGAATTCACAACTCTTTTTGAAAAAAACTTCCCCGCAAGAGCTAGACAAACGCCTTCAGAAGTTTTATTTGTCGCCAGGAAAAAGCGACGACCGCGGCCGTTCGGTCATCGCGCGCCAAAATTGTAATCGTCGGCAACAGTAAATGAGTTAAAAATCATCATTTTTGTGCTCAATTATCTCACTGTTTTAGTATATACTAAAACAATTATTCACCTCAGTGT